CTTCCCTCCTGCCTTGACCAGCCAATGTGCCACGATAATGCTCTGGAGGAGAACTGAATCTCCGTGGCCCTGTCCGTCCTTAGCGCCTCTCCCACGATTGCTGACAAGACTGCCCATTCGAGTCAGCCATGGTGTTGTTTTTGATGATGCAGGCACCTGTTCACTGTGAACTGGACTGAGACCAAACTCGTTTCACACAGGGTCATGAGCTGCTGGACAGTAACCAGCGTTGGTCACATCACACCTGACCTGAGCCAGGCTTTGCAGAAGAAGCACCTGTTCCCATCTCAGTTTTACTATTTACAATTCTGGGCTATAATCCAACCAGAGGGCTGTTTAAGCCTGTACATTCCCCTTCAGGAGAAAGGCAATGATACACTAAGAGGGACTGGGTATAAGGACCACAGTAAGAAGGGCTTATACATAGCTTAATTCCCAAAAGAAGCTTCCTAATTATGAGCAAGATTTTGGTCTAACTTACACAGCAGTAAATCCAAACATATACCAGTAGTGAGATTTTTACTACACTGTAGAGTCTCCCAAGAGAAGTGGTGGAAGGCCTATTGTTTGGGTTATTTGAAACTGTGCGTGGCAAAGCAATGAAGATGGTATAGCTCTTTTTGCCTTTAGACCTCAAAAGTATCTTATAAGATGATTAATAATAACAACATCTAGCTGTTTTCATTGAAGATTTCAGTGTGCTTTACAAAGGAGGTCAGTATCATTATCCCCATTTTACAGATCTGGAAACTGAGGCACAGTTGGCTAAGGCCACCCAGTAGGCCACTGGCAGAGCTGGGAATAAAGCCCAGGTCTTCTGAGTCCCAGTCCAGTACTCTAGCCACTAGTCCATACTGTCCCACCCATCAGTAATAGATGGGGAAAAATGAAGCAAAGAGACCATAGGTGAGTTGCCCAAGGTCACCTAGCAAGTACTATGCCTGTCTTCCAAACCACCCTGTCTGCTTGAAAGAGGTACTGGTCCCACACTGTTTTCTACTGATGCTACAAGGATAGATTAGAGGACTTCTCCATTTCTAACTTCCGTGCTAGAACTTCTTATAAATGTCTCTTTGTTCTATATGTGCTTCAAAAGCCAGATTTACTCCTCCCGGATTTAGGAACACATATAACATATTCACAACTTGAGTTTGATTTTGAGAAATAATTTTATTACCTCGCCTACAAAATGCTTCACAAAAGGTTTAGGGGACAGTGAAACCATGGCTTTTCACTTTGCAGGTGCATCTGATCTTTATTTTAAAAGGCTCACGATTGAAAGACTAAAATTTCACACCATAAAAACAAGGTATGTGCAATTTCATAATGTTAACAAATGCCACAAACTGACCATTTCACAGAAAACTTTACCATGTGAAAATAAATGTGTACAAATCATTACTACACAGCACGGAACAAAACAATTAAGAGAGCACAAAAGCAAAACTTTGAAGAATAGGTCACTGCTTGGGATGACCACTCTGTTAGTGGTCCAGCTTGCTAGCCGTTCCACATACATGCTGAGAATTGTGTTGGAAAGTAAGCATATGAAGATACACGTGTTCCACCACCTTGAAATATTGAATGTTCTGACTCACTATACAACATGGTAAAAGCGTCTGATTAAATAGGAAAAATACTCTGTCTCTGTTTTATAATTAACAAGTATGCTGATGATCTCAAATGATTTCCATCTGTTTTCCCAATGAATTGGCCTCTTTCCATTCAACTCCCTCTTTCTAATAATAACAAAGAAACCCAACAACCCAGACTTTCAATGATAACTCACCAAAGTTAGGAGACAGAAGCCTTGGGAGAAAATTTCGGAACCATTTTCAAAGGGCCAAATGCTGAGCTTGTATAAGTCAGCGCTGCTCTATTAACTTCAAAAAAGTGTTGCTGATTTACACCAGATTAGATGCTAGCCCTAGACCTTCAATTGGTGTTACTGCTAGGTCTGATTTAAATGGGCAGTTCTTTGGGTGTAGCCAATAGTATGCATCTTCTTCTGTAGTACAGTACTGCACGTTTAGATCGTAAGTTCTCTAGGAAAGGGACTGTTCCCCCCTAATGTCTGTACAGTGCCTAGCACTTTGTACAGCCTATGGGGAACAAATAAACAATAGTAATAAATGATCGTTACTACTTAGGCCTGGTCCACACTAACCCCCCACTTCGAATTAAGGTACGCAAATTCAGCTACGTTAATTTACGTTAATTTAATATAGCTGAATTCGAAGTACCTTAGTTCGAACTTACCGCGGGTCCAGACGCGGCAGGCAGGCTCCCCCGTCGATGCCGCGTACTCCTCTCGCCGAGCTGGAGTACCGGCGTCGACGGCGAGCACTTCCGGGATCGATCCCAGAAGATCGATTGCTTGCCGCCGGACCCGGAGGTAAGTGTAGACCTGCCCTGAGGGACACACATCATGTACTCATTACTTTGCAGATGTTCCACTAACATCCTTCCATGTAAAAAGATTCTTGTGTTTACTACACAGCTGTGTAAAGGAAAGAGATCAATTGGATCTCTGATCACAATTGAAGCTTTCAGGCTGTCTGTCAATGAAGCCAAAGGTCAGTATCAAACTTTTTTCTCTAGGAAAAAAAATCTGATTTAAACATAAAGGAACCACTCAGGAACTATAGTTTATTAGAGAATGGAGCTGGGAGTCTGGACTCCTGGGTTCTCTTCCCACTTCTGCCACTGACCAGCTGTGTGATTTGGGGCAATTCACAGCTTTAGTTTTCCCATCTTTGAAGTGGGATAATAGCTTCCTACCTTACAGACTGATGTGAGGCTGAATGCATTCATATTTGGAAAGTGCACTGAGACCTTCGAAGAGGCGCTACAGAAGTGCAAAGAATTAATAAGCCTGATTCTACTCTGAAAAGTGACTATATGGATTTTTTAAAAAAAGCATTGTGGGGTTCCATTTTTATTGTCTCAGTCACTTGACTGCAAAGCTTGCTGTTTCTGTGTAAAGAGATGGTTTCCTAACTGCCAGACCTACAAACTCAGCCTGGGATCTAAAAGTCAAGCTGGGCTTTTTCTGACTTGAGTATCACCTGCAGAATTAACTAAGTTCCATCTGCGATTTGTAGACTGGCAATTGGTGATGCATGAGTCAGAATAGACTCCAGCTCACCCTCCCACCAAGCTGTATCGGCTGCAGTGTTAACAAGATTAAACAACAAAATTACAGACCAAAAAGCCTCTATGACTAAGTAAAGCAGCCGTGAGTCCAAGAACACTAGGGACAAAATGAGCAGGGTGGTGACTAAGCTGTTGGGCCAGATTTTCAAAGGTAATTAGGTGCCTAAAGATGGAGAAAGGTGATTTGGACAATCCCACGAGGCATTTGTCTGCATCTTTAGGCACCCGATAGCTTTGAAAATCTGGCCCATATGGCAAGTAATTTTTTACAGTCATTTTTCTGACCACACCTATACGTCAAGGATAAAAGAAGGTCAACGTCCGTCATTTGATGAACACTAACTGGTTAGCAGAGCTTGTTCTTGCCAGATGCCTCCTAAAGGCACAGAATATAAAAGGAACCTCATGTCTGATTATCCCAGCATTGACACATTGGGTATGTCTGCACTGCAAGAAAAGACCTGTGGCTAGCCTCAGGGCCGGCTCCAGGGTTTTGGCCGCCCCAAGCAGCCAAAACCAAAAAAAAAAAAAAAAAAAGACCGACGATCGCGATCTGCGGCGGCAATTCGGTGGGAGGTCCTTCACTCCCAGG